CATGTTCTGGCTTAGCCACGGGTCTCTTCCCATTTTTCCTTACTTTATTCTGGGTTTTTTGCATTTCACTTTTTTCTTGCATAGAAAACTGAAAATATAACGCCCCGACACGGCACGGTGCGGCACGTTAAGCCAATATTTTGTGGCTGCTGAAAGTTATTCAAAGCTCTGCGAGGGGCTTGTGTTTCATTCTGTTGAAATTTTTTACGCTCTACGGTAAGTCGCTGCGAGTTAGCGAAATAAAAACAATTAACCCAAGCGAGCTGAGTCAGAATAACTAAAAGTGCCAAACTAACTGTGAGCACCCACACCTTAACCAATTTAACCAGTCCGAAACAAGAGCAAAAATTTAAAAGAGTTGGTCTCCCGCATTGACTCGCCGCAGATTTTCGCGGTTTTTTTTTTAATTTTCTGTCCCCCCTGGCCACTTCCCTGGGGATCGGACGGTTTTTGTCCCACGGGATGCATTTTCTATGTTTATTCTTTTTTTTTCTCCCACCGCTGTGACTCTGGCGGGCTGGTGACTCGTTTTCTTGTTCCCTCACATCCACATAAATTGTTCATTGTTGGCGGCAGGGTGTCAACCCCAACCACCCGACGACTGTCGCCGACAGGTTTTTGGATGAATATACAGAAGCCCAGCCAGTGGTTTATTTTTAAAACTTTTTTATTTATTTGTATGAATCTTGCTTGTCTAAATTGCATTCCGGGAGTGTTTTAAGGTTACACGATACTGTGAAGAATTAAAAAACGTGAATAAAAGTGGTTGCTATCACTGCCACTGCTTCTTAAATGAAATGTTTCTCTGAATATTTAAAAAAACATTGTATAAAAAATATTGTATTTTTTAAATAAATACAATATTTCAAAAATTAAGTCTGAAATTTACTTACAAAAAGGTTTACTTAAACGACAAATATAGCTCTCTAGTTTTCCACCTAACCACTATAGACAGCAGTCCTAGTTGGTGACGAAGCGGAAGCTTTTTTATTAAATATTTTACTATAAAAACGAATACTAAAGTTAAGATATAGTATCTTATATCGGTCTCCTTTTAGGCCTTGAACCTCTTTAGAAGAATTTTATATAGGCAAAAGCCTCTTTAACTCGTGTTTGTATCAATTATGAAGAGTTCCCTCAATATGAGTTATTCAAATTAAAACCACTTGTGAGTAAAATGAACTCGAAATGCTTTATAACTCAAGAGGGTAGAGTTGAATAAACAGATCCCACCTATATAAAGGGGCGTGGCAAGTGCTTGTGTCTGCCCAGAGGACGGCGGTGGCCGGAGGACGGAGGATGCAAGCGGGATTGGCGGTTGGCTGCTGCCGTCTGCGCTCGTTGAGCTAAATGAATAAACTTTTTCCGCTGCACACTCTTTTGGGCGGTAAATAGTGTTAAAGTTCACACATTTGATTTGTTTTTTTGTTTTTGTATTTGGAATTTCAGTTTTTCCGCTTTTTCCACGAACTTCAGTCCGCCTCCTTCATTCACATTCACTTGGCTGTGTTGACTGTTTTTTAGCATTCACAAATTTTTTGACAACATTTGTTCCTCGCAAAATAGTTTTTCCATTATGGCGGCATAGAGCCGTGGAGAACGGAGGCTGGCAGGGCATGGGGCATGCCTCGCACACACACACACACTCATGAGCATAAAGTAGCCGAAACAACAAAAGTGTAAATTAGCTTTTGCCTGTTGTTGACGTTGTTGGGCTCTCCGACTCTCCGCCTGTGGAAGTGGAAGTGGAAGGCTGGCTTCTGTTCAAGGGAAAACTTTGTCATTTGGTTTTAATAAAAACACTTGCACAATCACACTCGCTGCACATACCAATACACACAGCTACACACACTCTCCCAAATGCACTTACACTCACTTTTGCATTCGCTCATGTGGCACTTCATTTGCGCTGTTGCAAGTGGCAAAAGTTCATCTGAAGGGTTTTTTCGGGGTTATTTTTCGGCTTTATTTAGATTGAGAAGGCTGAGAAGGGGGCCTAGCAGGGGGCTTGGTTGGAGGTCCTGCTCTTGACACGCCGACACCATCGTGGTCTCCTCCGCCGAAACCACAAAGTTTATTTAGAAATTATAATGTTTGACGCCTCCACGAAAATCCCCTCAAATTTGTGATCCTGGAAAATAAATTGCATGTGTATTATAATGTAATAATTTATTCAATAAATGAGAACAACTGTTTAACAATTTGTTTTTAGTTTTTAATAATCTCATACTAGTGTGTTGGGGCTTATGAGTTCTAACCTAATTAGTTTCATATTAACCTAATTGCCATTGACTAATAGCTTTCAATTTTAAACTCAATTCAAAGCAAGACTTAATTTCCACTCAGAGAGAATTTTTCAGTGCAAAATCCTTCAACAAATTAAGCGCCTACCTCCAGCCCGCCTAACTTCGGCCCGGATCAGGTCAGGTCACGACCCCCCGGGCTGTCTGGGGTGTCCAATTTGATTGAATTGTCGCCGCAGCGGTGAGACTTTGCTCTGCGTGTAGTCTCTGTCTGATTCTGTTGGTATTTACAAAATGCAATCAAGATCGGATCGATGGGCGGGCGCGTGAGTCTGTTAGTCTGTGTTTGTGGGTCGTCAGACTTATGCAGTAACAAAATTGAAAATGTCACACCCCTGGCCTCTGGACCGATTCTGGACCCCCCGGCCAAATGGCGCACTATTCGGCTGCTAAAAATAAAACTCCACGGATTTCTGGTGCGTAAAGCTCCAACCAAAGCAGCATCGCTTAAAACAACAAAGGCGGCAGCGCCAACAACACCCTGACTCCGGCCAAAAGCAGCTGTTCGTGTGCTAGCTCAAAGGATTTGTGCGGGATTTTGGCATAACGACAAAAACGAAGAGCTGAGAATAAAAAAGAATTGGCCAAAAAAACAAAAAAGCTACAAGAAAAATAATATAAAAAAAAAACGAACTTTTTGAAATTAAATTTAACCCGTAGATGGAGCTGCAGCATTGTCTGGGAATGGCTGGCTAAGCGAATTTTCCGCCCTTTCCGCCCAAAGAGTTGCCAAGTTCGGCCCTTACTTCCTAAGCTGCCGAAATATTGAAAGAATTTCAAATTGAAAATGACAAACATTTTTTAGAGGGACAGCGGGAAGTTTGCAACTGAATTTAACTCGAAACATTAAGCTTTTTAAATGTTTTGCGAGGCATTACAAAAGTACCTTTATGATTCTTCATATTTTTTTATATGCATCTTTCCATTTATATTTTACAAAATATATTGAAATTTTCAATACTTGATGTACAGAACTCGTTACCCTAACCAAAAATCCTACATAAATAATTTCATTCATTAAAAGTATTACCAAGTGCAATTGAATTTATTTTTGGAAGCAATTCATTCAGGGAAAGCGTTTGAAAATTTATTGTGGAAAAGGGAAAAGTATTTCACAATTTAGTTCATCACTAATCTCACACACCTGGCGAAGGACTCACACTCGATTGGCCCCCGCCCTTGTTCCTTTCTCCAGCCTCTTTGTCTGTCACCTTTTTTCCGGAGTGAGCCCGCCCGGAGTGGGCGATTTCGATTTGGGCTCTGATGCGATCCCAGTGATAAATGTACACAATTTTGCCCATTTGCATACGCAGTAGAGTCAAACCGAAGCGTAACGCAATGGCAGGGCTATATACTCCCACGTGGGAGTGGGTGTGGGCTCCGTCTGCAGAAGATAAGTTGAAACCAGCAAAATGATTTTCATTTCAATTATTTATTGATTGATTTGCAATTTGTAACCGACCAAAAGTTGCACACCTGCACATATGTACATATCAATCGACTTTCCAAGGATTGATGGCATGGCTGTATGGGGGGGTTGGAGGGGTGGGCAGGATAGTCAGTGTATAGGCAAGGGCGTTGCCTATACTATGAGAGGCGTGTCGGAAAATCCATCTATGCGTGTGTGTGTGTGCGATTTGTGCAGCTGTGTTTGCCAGAGCTGCGCATATTTAATTGAAAATGTTACCGCATTTATGAAATTGTCAATATGCAGTACAAACACACCGGCAAACACACGCACACCAACCTGCAGGTGTTGACGACATACATTTGACATATTTACATACAATTAGTTTGTAAAATTTTTGCGCAAAAACGAAAATGTAAATTCCCCTCCACAAACACACACACACTCACACAAAACAAAAACAGCAACCGCAACACACAAAAAAAAGTTGAATCGCAAAAAAGAAATCAACAAACAAATTGAAATGGTAAAGCGGTAGCAACCGAGGAGGAACTTTTATGGTCTACTCCTGGATGGAAATGTGCTGCAACAACAATAAGGAGGCAAACAGAATTTGCGAAAAATGCATAAATAATGTATGTGTTAGCATAGATTGGCAGCCATTCAATTAGCGTGTGTAATAATAATTGAATCGTTCCCAACTCAACTCAAAAATGTACTGAAATAATGCTACTGGCCTGGCATATATACATATATAATTGGTTAAATGGAAACAAATTAAATATGGTTCGAGTAGAAACAAAAATAGTGCTTTGAACTTAACATTCCCAAATCCCATCTGTTTTTAGTACATTTTAATTATTTAAAAATGCTTTTAAATAGGGTTCATGCTTGAGATCGCGAACAATTCGGGGAAGTAATGTATTCTATCTATCATATTAAATCCGGGACTTCCCCTGCTTTTTTCTCCAGACATCTTATCATCCCTATCGTTCGATACAGAGTTATCGACTTGTAGTTATCAATAGATTCATTTGGAAAGATGCGAAAAATATCGATGTACTTTAAGAGTGTTGGAAAGTATCGACGTATAACCACGTTTATCAAAGCATTACGAGGCACAATTGGCGTTGTCAAAACTTTTCCGCTAAGGATTTAGTTCGTATATAAGTTCCATATTATAAAACCATTAAAAATCTAAAAGTATTTCTATAAAAATACCATCGTTATAAGGTTTCACACATTGACCAAGAACAAAACGAATTTTTAAATGAAAAACATGGGTAAAATTATTTTTATAAACTAATCATTTAATTGAAACTAAAGCATTTCTAGGCTAAAACATCTATCCAACAAACGTCTCTATTGCGATGATAGCACAGAAGTGTGGCTAGAGTGCGAACGGCGCTGTTTACACCCTCAGCATAGTCCACCAACAGATCCCAGACATTGCATTGATATAACAAACTAACCAGAAATGGCTTGAGGACGCGATAGTTTTCCATTATCCTCAGGAATACGCATAGAATATTACGAGTCAATTGAACCGGCACATTTTGGCGGTGAAGGATTTCACACATGACATGATATCCTTTGGTCTCCATAAGTAATGGCCAATTGCGAGGCTCCAGGTGCATAGCGAAACTGACCAAAGTCCAGCTGGCTGCGCTGCGCACTTGCTCCTCCTGTTCCTGCATGCTGGCGCAGAAAATGACCTTCGGAATAAGTCCGAGCATCATGCCGGTCCGAATGCATCGATTGTCAATGATCCCACCCAACAACTGGTGCACTAGAACACGTATTTCGACGGGACCGTAAAGGAACAGGCCGTGGATGTAGAGAATGATGCTCTTGGGGAACCGGTAGAGAGCATGCTTCTGCCGCTTTTTGTGCTGCTGGCAGGTGTTGGCCAAAATGAAGATGGCCTCACGCTTGACTTCGACAACGGGACTGCGAACAAATGGGGCCGACCTGGCGAGGAGCTTTGACTGGATCATGGACGAGAGCATGACCGATTGGTACTCCGAAATAAGCCGGGCCAGCTTGAGAAGTGGAATAAGTATGGTTACATCCTGGTTGGGATTCAGATGATTTGCCACGGTCCTGGCAATCCTTGCAACGGCCTTCTCGCTGGGTCCTGGCATCTTGCACATGAGAAACTGATACAGCAGCCACACCAACTGGCTCATCATGGTCTTGTGCCTGGAAATATCGTTGTATTGGTGGTACATTAGCTTGACCATGGCGCTTAGCAGTCCAGAATCCTCGATGGCATCGCGTAAACGCCACCCACCCACCACAATGTTGCTGATCAGGGTCAGGGTGGAGCGCACAATCAAACCACGTACTTTGGGAGCGTCCAGAATGTCGTTTAAAATTCCTAAAAGTCCAGTATTCAGCACCAGGCGCTTCAGGTCCGCGTTAGTGCAGTGCGTGGTCACCTCGTGCAGTACTCTCAGAGACTTGACGGCCTGACGCGGCTCCTCGGTTAACTTGTCAATAGTGAGGTAAGTCATCAGGGCGTCAGAAATCTTGCCCTGCCAAAATAAATCCATGCTCTCCAGCACCCATTCGGCGAACACCTGGGCCGACTTCTCCTCGTTGTCCATTAAATAAAAGGTAACGAGCTTGGTGCAGACAGTGTTCACGTCTTCTTGAGTCCCCATGATGGTAGTCCCGGCGATATTTGGCTCTCGAAATAAAAGTAAACTTCCTCTGAAAAGAGAAAATTATTTTGCAGCGAAAAGTAGAATTGAGAACTCAATGTTTATCCGAAATTCCTTGTTTTCATTTACACAAATTTAAAATCAACTTCCTAAGCTTTTTATTTGACTGAATGAGCACAATTGTCTACGATATTGTGATGACTTTCATCTAAATACTTGTTAGTGTTAGAAAATGGCCTAAAGACGACAGTGTGGGACAGGACTGTCAAGTTTTCGACAAGGCCAACTGAATGTTTTTCCAGCGCATTTTCTTAAGCCCACAATCAAGGCATTTGGATTGCTTAATTGGCTTGACTGCTCAAGTCATCTCCCCTCAATGCCACAATAAATCTCCACCTTTTCCCCCTTTTCTGGCGAAGGAGGTCTTATTAAATTTACAATTGTATGGATTATGTCAGAACTCCGGCAGCGTTAAGCAGCTCAGCTGAGGCTCAATGTAGTCACTCCGGTTCGATTTTTGCTGTCAGCCTCTTCAGACCCCGGCATGGCGTCCTCCTTGCGCCCTGGATGCCATGGAGAGCTCTCCTAAAGAGCTTTAAATGCCAATCAGGACTTTGCTGTGATTGTCTGTGGGTGTTTGTACGGATTGAGAGTCCCGTCCAAGTTCGAGTGGCAGAGAATATCTCTACAACCTCGACCTCGGTCAGCTGATAATTAATAAATTTCTTGGTTCAGTCTTAAGCCCAGCACGCTCTGGGTTGTGTTCATACTTATAGACGAGTGTGTGTTTCTTGGCTTATGTTTTCTGTTTCTTTTGGCCACACATAACCAGGGTATCAAAAAGTATGATGTATCGGTACTTAATAGGACCATCCAACGCTCAAAAATATGTCATTGTTCTATGTCCTCAAGCTTACGGTTCTAAAGCAATATGTTAGAAGTATTTATTAGAATATAAAAATATTTTTAGTAAGGTATAAGCTATCTCGCTGTCGCATTTTCTCCAATATCTTTTCAATTTGCGATTTTCTTTCAGTTTTATTTGCAGTACATGTCTCTTTTGAGGTTGCCGCTCAACAGACAATATTCCTGCGCTTGTCATTTGTCTCACGTTTCTTAATTAGCTGCAGGATAATGGGCTTCGTGCACATGTCACAGGTAAACAAAAGGAAAATTCAACGCTACAGCGAGCACGACTCGATGCGACGCGACACCTCGAATATGCAGCGGAAAATGTTTTCCCAATTAATCGCAAAGTAATTGAAATATTTCATTAAAATCTGAGCACGGTGCCGAAAGACAAAACTTTGGCCAAAACAACTCAGGAACACTTGAAGAAAAGGGGAAATTTAAGACAGGATTATAAATCAATTTGGCCCGAAAACCGAACAGGAGTTGCCGTAAAGTAACAGGCACTGCGGGAAACCCAATATAATCAAAAAGAAAAACGATACCAAAAAGTTTCCGCAAAAATCGACTTTAAGCTGCTTTTCCTCCGCCCCGTCAGGAAATAATAAAAAATTTGGGCTATATATAGGCGAAAGAAAAAGATATATATTTGTATATTCTTATGTGTATAAAAGACTTTCGGGTTAGGCGCTGGTGATTTGTTTTGTTTGCCATTAGGCTCCCTCTCCTCGTTTGGCGATTGAATTTCATTGTGCTGTTCCCGTTGCCGTAATAAATTTAATATGGGTCATTTGTATGACATTGTATCTGGCATCCCACTTGCTCCCAAAGTCTTCATTTTGCCGCCCTCCTTTTGTTTTTACTTTTTCCTTATCCTATTCCACCTTTCTCCCTTAGCTTTCTCTGTACTTTTTTGGTCATTTCCCATCGTCTATCACACTCTACATGTTTTTTGCGGTGACCATCGCAGGGCGATTGAATATTTTTGTGGTTCGATTTATGGCTGTGAGCTTTTGATTTACTCAGATTTTTAGAAAAAATAGAGTTTAATAAATAAATTCCAGTATTTAATTGACAAATTCTCTCCAGCAACATTTTGTATTTTCTTTTGAGTATATTAGAATTCTTTAAGCCCCTATTTTAATAAAAACTAACTTCATCTTGTAGCTATGGTTAGTACCACCTTTTGACGAGGTGTTTTCCCACTTCCTAACTTTCCTTTTACAACACTGGATCTTAAAAAGAACAAACAATCGAATCATCGAACAATCGAGCAGCACAGTTTGCATTGCCTTCGAGGGGTCGTGTAGTTATGGGAAAATTATAGAGATTTGTACAAATAGCCTACACCTTCCTGCAGATAGTTATTTTTTCTAGATTTGAATACACCTTTTGGAACTCTTTCACCCTCCCTCGCCACATCCTGCTCTGCCTGCTCTCCATCTTGTATTTTCCCATCGCTGTCGTCGGCGTTGCTGCTAATTCTGTTTTTGCTTCGCTTGGTTATTTGGCCAGGACTCACAAAAAAGGAGCCCAGCGAAGAAGGCCCAACAAAAGGCGCAACAAAGCGTGCTCTGACGGGGGCGCTGCCTAAGAGGGGGCGTGGCAGATGCAGAGGCTGGACTATAGCGTTCCCCGTTACCACGGCCTTTTTGCTTGTCTCTCTGCCAATGACATGTTGCAAATTAAAAAAGGGTATATGCCTGAGCAATCTTGGTTGCGGTTGCCCTCTGTCGACAGAGAATCGGAGACTTGGGGTCAAGCCACGGCATCGCCCACAGCCCAGTGGCCAGGGTCCAGAGGCCGGTAACAGCATTTTAATGATGGCCATTTTTTGGCCCTCTTCCTGCCTTCGTGGTTTCGTCCGAACCCAAATACCTAGCCGGAAAATGGCAACAGAACCGGCCACATCCATCGCCGTTCACATAATTTGATGACAAACAATTTGGGCACAACTTGCGTATTCTTTTTAAAGTTATTGCCGCCGGTCGGAGCTTCAAGTTTTTCTCTGCTATGCTGGGGAGTTTCTAAAAGAGACTGAAAGGCATTCGAAGCATGCCGGTGAAAGCATCAACAGCAGCCGAAACTTCTTAGTTGCCTACTTGCCTTGCTCTTTTGCAGCAAAAACTAAAGACCAGCTCCGAGTTATGTGGAATTTAATAAATGCTTCCTTTTAACTTACCTAAAATTACTTTGAAGTTGTTGCCTGGTTTTGTCGTTCCGTCCAGGACATCAAGGACCAGGCCAGCCCCCAAATCGGGAGGGAAAATCTGTCAACAGCTCCGAAACTGAGGACCATCTAAGCAGCCACTCGTTTATTGATTATGAGTCATTAGGAAAAAGTAAACAGTAATTTCGTTGGATAAAATTAGTGGTTGTTTGTGATTACAAGTAAACAAAAATGATATTTTGTAGGTACTTAGCAAAATTATCCTAATATTATAAAATCAATAATAACAAACCTTAGCTTTAAAGTTAAGATTTTTAAACCAGAAAGAACTGCTGTACTCTAGTTTCCTGACAATATGATACACGGTACTCTTTCTGCAATCCATCCTATTTCTTTATTTAAAAATTTCAAAAATAAATACAAAGAAAAGTATTTAAAATGTAATACAAACAAAGAAGTCTAAATTAAACGAATCTTATTCAGAAGCTCTATAGCCTTATAGACAAGAAAGAGATGATATATATAAGGTCAGAGATGATTCCTTCGTCTTGTTTCCAAAAGAAATAGTTGATTTAAATTGTTCCTTTTGTGCCAAGAGTCTTAAAATAATCCCACAATACCAGTAGCTCTTTAAAATGTCAAAAATCTCGGCGACGTGAAACGACTTCATCAGATTCTCTGATTTGTTTGCACTAACCCTGGAGAGTGTCAATCTAAAGTGGCCGAAATGCGAAGTTAAAACCATGCCAAGATCCATTGCAATTGAGGCAACACGACAACAAAAGCCTGTCACGGCCGGATTCGCTGGGGAATTTGCCGAGAAGCAGTCGACAGTCCTTGACCCGAGTTGGCTTCGATTATGCCATTTAGCTGTGCAAATAAATACGATTGCCGGTTGGCTCGTTCTCTGTCTCAATTTCAATCGGGCAGATAAATGAGGGGGTGTGGGTGGCTGGGTGGATGGCTTAGAGGGAGATCGGAGTAGGTACAACTAAGATAAACAATGGCTGAAAACGGAAGGAAGTAACTTGGCAAGCAAGCAGGCAGCCGGCAGAAGGCAGGCAAGCAAGGAGAACTCACGACGTGCTTTGTTATTTTTAACAGCAATTTCCAAGAAAAACAAAATGGAGAAAAGAGCGAAAAGGAGCTGCTCGCCGGGATGTTGTTGCAGCTGAGCAAAAATATATTTGCCGCCATATTTTGAGACAATATCCTCGCGTTTGGGAAGCAGCTTACACCAAGGAAGCAACACTCATGTGTGGATGTGAAGTACACTACTAGCGTGTTCCCCATCCTGCGCCCTTGTATGTGCGTGTATGTGTGAGCTACAAAAGCTACGCATTGTGCTTCCGTTTCCGCTTTGTTGAATTCCACTTGTTTACTCGATTTAAGGAAATATTACCGGCACAAACAAACAAAGTGCAGCATCGGCGGCAACAACAGTACCACAGGTCTAAGTTTAGCAGACAAAGCGGATATAGATCCCCCGCCTCGCAAAAGCCCTTTCTCCATCACACACGTACCGCATGTGTGTGTGTGCCCAATAGACAAGTCATAAGTTTTTACGGTTCGTTGCAGACAAGTAGTAAGAAATTTTTATGCTTCCAAACTTGCTATAATAACTCCGAACCAAAAAGAACAAAGGTAAATTGTGGAAAAAAATAGTTTAGAGTTGCTAGCCGAGAGATAAATGCCCTATAGGGAGGCCACAAAAATAAATTGGAACAAGTGTTAAAATGAATAAATTATACACGAATATAGAAGTGAGTTGGGATGTACTTTCATAAAAATATGCACATTTAATTGAATGGAAAAATATTTTGCATGTTTTTTTGGGCATATGTGTTTTTATTATTCATGATTAAAATGCTTATTTATAAATTTTAATAAAATAAGAGAATATTTACCCACAAATGAAATCTATACTTTATATGTTGTAGGATCTATTTTCCGAGAAGGCCTTGAAAGTAGAGAGTGGAAAAACCTCAATTGCACAAACTTCAACTTGAAATCGCCAAAAATAGAGCTGGTGGATGAAAGATGCTGGGGCGGCTGGGCGGACACGTGCTTATGCATATGGAAAAATAAGGAGTAGGGCGGCTCGTAGCAGGTGCCTCATAAGTTGCAGCTGAGCGGATATTTTGTACTCGAGTGGCGCTGCAGAAGGTGAA